TGCTGCCCTTGGCTTGTGCTTGAGTCTGGGAAGAGATGAGACCTTTGTCACAGAATCACAGAATGTTAGGGACTGGAAGGGACCTCAAAAGATCATCTAGTCCAATCCCTCCGCCAGTCTTGTGTAATATAGTTTTGCCTCGCCTGTCCAAATTTGCCAAAAATAAGTGTTTCCAATAAGTCTTATTAGAAGAACAAAGAAGAATAACTGTTTTGGTTTGGCACTAGAAGAATTTATAACCATAAATAATCTCACCTTATTGAAGTGTTTATTTGTTCGCTGTGGAGTTTTGAAAGGGAAATGTTCACCATAACTCTGCCTAGAGCTATACGTATATTGTCTTCCTATTTTGTGAAGGGTAGTGGTCCCTGTCTGCAAATTTATTTGTGTCAGTTCTTCTTGAAAGTACATCAGAGAGAATTTTCTTTAACTGAGAACTTTTACGATTAGAACTTTGCATAAAACATTCTGTGTTTTTTTTATTGTTAATTAAAAGGTCAAACTAAAAACAAACACAAAAGAGCTTGCAGGTTTTCTTGAAAAAAAGTTGGAAAATTTGCATTAACAGTTTTGATATAAATAATGTTTCTAAAAAGTATAATTGAAAATTAAAGAGTATATTTAAGAACTTGCTTACTAAGCTAAGTGGAATTTAGGTTGCATTTAAGAGCATTGCTTCAGTGTTTTATGTTCTCTTTACTGCATGTGTTAATTAACACAATATATATCTGAGCAAGTACTTACACTTATTAAAGCGTCATGTAAGCTGTACTGTAAGCAGAAGATGATCATCAGAGAGAAGATAACATTTACTGTGTGTTAAATACATAAAGAGCAAGAGGTACAGCATAAAAGCACTGCTAATTAATTACATTACTTGAAGACACTTTTACTAGTAGGTATATGAGGCCATAAATATAGTTAATAGTGTCTCAAATCCCACGTACTCAGCAGTTCACGTAACCTGTAGGGTTCCACAAAATGTGTGCCATCTTGCTTCTGCATATGTCTGCAAATTCTGCTTGATTATCTGTGGTCCTAGTCAGGCATATCTCAAAGACAGAATTGGCAACTTGTCTAAACTAGTTTGTAACCTGCAATTTGAGGGATTTGGGCGTAGACGAGGTTCCGTATAAATGCACAGGCCGGCTTGCAAACTTCTATAATACTGCTTCAAGAGAAACTGGCGTACGGGCTGCTGATGGGCACTGACAGACCCCTTAAGTTGCCAGAGTGCTAACAGTGGCTTGTTGTGCTAAGGGGCAGTCCTTTGGGTGCGGGTGTTTGCCAGACGATCACACCTGTGGCAGTCTTCTGCAGAAGAGAACATACACTTGCAGACAAACTCGATAGGAAAAAACCCCTCAGTGCAGTGAATGTTCAAGCGCTGCGCCACAAGTCAACGCTTCCCGTGGAGGGATAGCCACATGCAGTTGTCTTTGCTCTGTAACTGAATGATTGTGTTCAGGCTCTTAGCTATCTGGTGCCTGCCATCCTGTATAAGAATGAATACATTTTATGTATTTCAAGTAAGTTGTTGGGATGGTTTTCAAACAGGCTGAAATGGTTCCAAATCTTATTTCAGAGCCTAATGAAAAAGCTATCTGCTCTAAATGCTCTGTCAATAACAATATCAAATGTAATTCCCAGATATTAGTTGTATGAATTATATCATTGTCACTAATGGCAAGCTGCTCACATGAGAGGTGATTATGAGATGCAAACCCTTTGATTAGAGAATACACTGCAGTCAAATGAAAGATTTTCTCTGCAATACAGAGAAGCATATTGACTGTGCTACATCCTACCAAATATTTATGACATCAGCTACAACTTCAGGCAAGATTTTCAAATATGTGAGTCCATATTTATGGATAGTACTGCTGAAATTTTTTAAAACACATTCCTTTAATATGTGTGCACTATTTTTTATGCATTTTCACTGTGACTTGGATTCTTCATCATGTAAGTTACCTTGCATGAGAGAAACAAAGCTTGGAAACCGTAAAATAACATTCCTAAAAATAACACTATTTACTAAAAATGTTAAGAACTTCTTGTTCTGAATGAAAGATCTGAATGTCACAGAATTCTATTCAGTCTGTTTTTCATGGGTCAGCCCTTCTCTATTAAATAGATTTTTGGCTGTTTTTCCACTGAGTATAAGCTTAATATCCAGTACATCCTCTGTGATGGAACTGTAGCCTTCCTTTACAAAAGAATGGGCTCAATAATTTGTTACTTCTTTTTTATCTCTTACTACGATGATCCTGCTTAAAAGCAGATGACTGAGTTTCCATTCTGTAGCTCCTGCTATGTGGAGGAAATCCACTGTAATTAAATCTTATAAAATCCTCTTATTCCCAATATAAATAATTCTCTGACATCGGCAATTCCCCTGAGCCTACATCACAGCCCAAGGAAAACAAAGAGCAGGAGCAGATACTTACTTCCTCTTAAATATTTGATCATTTTGAACAAACTTCTGCCCTGATTACAGTAGCTGCAAGCCTCATCTAAATTAATTATTTTTGAGACAGAATTTGGATTACTGCTTTTTCTCCCTTTCAGTTTTACTTTGAATAATGACTAAACCGACATGTGTCTTAAGCTGTGGGAACAGCAAGTTGTCTGAATTGTTCTACAACATGTAGTGTTGTAATTCTCATTTTGTACTAGAAACAAAGCACATAAATCCTGCTTGACAGGATTTGAGATTGAAAGTATACTGGCAAAAGAAGAGCTATATGCCTCCTTAAGCAAATTTCCAAAACTGAAGGATCCTCTTAGCTTACCAGTGTTAATTACAGCAATATTATTATTAATTTGCAGGGATACAATGCTAATTCCAAGCACACTGCAACTTTTTACACCCATTTAGGGTTTGGGATAATGGAGTGCACAGGCAGAAACTCTTGCCCAGCAGTGCATTGTGAACCAGAGAGAGCTTTGGGTGTATACCCAGTCCTTTGACCTACTTGCTGGATGATGCTGCCACCTTTGTATGCAAGAACTTCGAAACTGCACCACCAGAGAGCACTGTGCTATTTCTGCACATATTTCTTACCTTCCCTACATGTTTAAGGACTTATTTTATTCAGTATTTTTTCTATGTTCCACTAGAACTCAAATGGTTGTGATTATACTGGAATTCCCAGACATTTTTGGTAGCATTGCTCTGTGTGCACCAAAAACTTTTAGTTGCCCTGACGAGCCTCACCTGGGACCTTCACCCCACTTACGGCCCAGTAACCCCATTTAAGGTCAGTCCTGGGGTCCTTGTTCATCTACATTCTATGGGTGCTGGCCTGCACTCTTGTCTCCTAGGTGGACCTGAGACCTGTGCTGGAGCCAGCCCGTTTCCTAGATGGACTTTGGACCCCCAGTGTAGCTTGTGTCCCGCCCTGGCTGCTTTTGCTCCTGACCAGAGTCCCTGGATGACCCCTGTGCCTGATTCATGCCCTCGCCGCGGCTGGGATGACTGATGGACACAGTCATGAGCACTGAGCTCCGGCTGCCATGCTCAGATGTGGTGGGCTTGTGTGCTGGCTGGTGAGGGCACGGCCTAGTCCAGGTTTGCCTGGGGCTCACCCTGCTGCGGAGCAGCGCTCTCTGCACCTTCACGTGTCCAGCTGGCCCATCATCTGGAACTCCCACTGCTGAAAATAGACCACGATTTCCAGGTACGAAACTATCATGTTTCTGCTGCTCCTAACATACTTCCAGTGAAAGCACCATGTATATCACTTTAAAATTTGTGTAATTCTGTATTGCAGGTGTCTAAAATCCGTGTTGGAGAACGGAAGGCAATAAATGGCACATTTGGTTGGAAAATATTTTGCTAATGATGGCTATTTTTCTCTGAAATTTCCTCAGTCTTTCTTAACTTCTGGCATTCTCTTTGTGGCCTAGATTCTTCTAATACAGTTAAAATACTTTTCGAACAGGAAGAGAAAAACCTTCCTCTTAACTACAATGCAATTGAGAAAGCTAGATGTATTAAAAATGTTGGAAAACCCACAGCAACCTTATCTCCAGACAGAACTTAATTACAGAATAGACTAATAGTTTAATAGAGTGTGAGAATTTCCCATTTAAATGTCTTTCACTAGTGAAAATTGCATGTATTTATGTAGGCATTAGAAAAGGAAATCAATGTGGCAGATGTCTTTTCAACCAATTCCTGGATCCATTTTATCCAAAGATACAAAACGCATTTTTTTCTGAGGATTTGTTTTCAACTTAAACTTCAAATGCTTTGTAGACATGTGTTAAAACGACCACCTTTTTCATTTTTTGTTGAAATGTTCTTTAGAAGGTCAAAGTACCACCTTAATATTCTTAAGTTTAGTCACAGAACTGAGTTATGGATACTTGTTAGTCCTTGTTAGACCTTCCTGGTCTCTCTGTGAGACAAAAATACCTGCTTAAGCTCTCACCTATTGTATACCCTGCAGAACAGAGGAATCTTGGGTGACAGTGAAATACTTTAATTTGTCTGCTACACTGACAGGCTCACTTGCTGTTTTATCTTTGATGATGATTACCTCATTTCCTCCAAAAAACATTATTTTTCACCGTCAGTTCTGCAGTATTTATCCAAGCCACCTTGATGTATACTTATCTTATGACCATCCCCATCAGTCACTGATTTTTTTTATGAGTCTGAAACTTGTGTTACTGGTAATCCCTGAATTGATTCAGTGGCATTTTTAAAGAGAAAACACAAAAGCTTTTTTTCCCTCATGATGTTTTATTACTTGTTAATAATATATGACAAAACAGATTGATTATAGAGCAGACAGGCAGCATTTAGCATTGCTAAACAGAAAAACACTTCCTAGTTTCGCCCTTTTATGCCCTTGTGAGTAAAAAGCTCCTTTCCCTCAAACTGTTTCTGATATGGTTTAACACCACAGTGAAGATAAGTTTAGAGCCTGCTAGGAACTTGTCTGGGCTGAGGGCAAAAGCAAGGAAGGGCTGACAGAACTAGAGTAGCACTTTTCAGCTCCTTGCTACCAACTGACTATTAGAAAGGGCTGAGAAAAAAAGAAGGCTTTGGCGGTGGGAATTTAGAGCTCTTCTGTTTCACCACTCCTTGGCACGTTGACCTCAGTATGATACTCGGAGGAGTCTCCTGAAGGCATCCAAGGTATTGGGGTTCTGTTGAAGGAGGGTCTGTTGCTGAAATTTTGATTGTATATCATGAGAGATTCTGGAATCAAAGGGCAAATATCAAACTGAGGCACTTTGAAGGTCATCCGTTTGGCTGCTTTCTCGTAGCCCCCATAAGGCATGGCAGTCCTGGCAAAAGGGAATACGCAGAGTTAGCAAACCGAGCATAGGTAAGCAATGGTATTTAGAATATAAGTAATCAAAGTTACGGAGGTTGTGAATTTTACCGCTGTGGTAGTTGACTGGCCAACAAAACCTTCCCAAGAACATATATGTATCCATTGCCTAGGTACTAAAAAAGGCTTGAAAAACAACCCCGCCCCTCTCTGCTTCTGCATGCTTTCGACACCCCGTCATATCAATCTCCATCAAACCATACACATTTCACACCTGTTGGTACCCTGTACATGTAGGACGCAGAGCCTGCATATTATTGCAGAAATGAGCGGGATTTGGGTTCATCCTGGATACTCATGTCCTGAGGCTATGGAATTGAGTGACAAAATTATATAGAGAGGTTCACAGAAAATTGTTGCTGCCCTAGAAATATTTGCAAAACTTTGAGTTCTTATCAGACGCAGCAGGAAGATCCTGATTCTTATCTGAAGTACTGTGAAGTTTATGGCTTGTGATCCTAAGTGTATTTCCTGAGCTCTTGAACTTTAAATGGCTGCACTAATAAATAGTGGCAAGCTAAATCTCCCTGGTCAAATGGGGCGAGAAAGAAAGGGAAATGGGATTAAACTCCTCTTATCCAGCTGCATAGGTTTTCTGTCCATAAACTGAATTAAAATCTCTAGCTCTTAATGTATCTTCTCTTTGTAAACCTCTAAATGATTCATCCCCAGGAGACTGCTAAACAAAATGACATGCAACTACAACTTACTTACATTGTAGGAGACAGGAGGGCTATAGCCAGGTTTATTGTATTTTCTCATGCTAAATAAACTAGAATTGATTATCCAAGAAGACTTACCGGTTAAACGACTTGTAATGGGGAGAATCAGCCTTGGGACTATATGACAGTAAGTCAATGGTGAACTGACTTTTGTCCTCAGGGCTGATACCCATTGCTCGTTCCCAGGGGGAGATGTATGTTTTAAATATAGTGATTTTCTTGCCTCCTGACTTTCCGTCTGTAAACAGAGGAAGGTAAAAAACTCTAGTTAGATGGCATTTACTCTAAATACCTTTCTGTATTCTACTAAAGTGGAGACACCAGCTTTGTTTGCAGATTCTGTAACTCCTAGATGAAGTCTGAGATTTTATGGTTAGATTTCTCTTTTAGAGGACTGTCATACATCACTTCCATCCTTATCCACAAAAGCAGATGTACCACAGTCCACTCATCCACAAAGCAACTCATCCAGGGATCTGCATTACAACATATACTTGAAAGCTAATTTTTCATTCTTCTCTCTGATCACTCAAATAGAAACCTCGTACCCCAAGAACCAATGTCCTTACCCAATCATCTCTTTCACTACCTGAGGGGAAGCTTTACACAAGGCAAAATGCTATCTAATTTCGTAATTTACTTCGTTCTTCTCTCTCTGACCATAGCAGACATGACCCCTCCACCTAAACCTCAACATCATCATCATATACAACAAAAAAAGCCCTAACTATAAACTCCAAAACAAGGCTTAAACTTTGAAGTTGGTTCTAACTGATCAAAACTCTTTAACTATCATATTTCAGAGTCTTGGCAACTCACAACCATCTTTACTAACATCTTCCTCAATTGTGTATTCTTGAATGTTCTAAAATTGCCATCTCCCTTGTCTCAGTATTTTTATAAGTTGGCATTTTCTTTGTGCTTACATGAACAGGAATTTATATTTTCCCTTCCTGAATGAGGGTGTTAGAGAGGAGTCTGGCTCGGATACCTCTAGATGACTAAAAGCAGTCTGAAAAGGTGATGGGATATCTCTCTGGAAGTCAAAATCCTGTCAATGGCAGAGCTGCACTTTGCCATTAAGTTAGATACTTGACTACCAGAAATTTTATGTTAGCTTCTGGATGCTCCATTTAGCAAATGACCTTAGATAAGGGGTTTCATTCTGTGCACCTCTTCTTTTTTTTTTTTTGTTTCCTTCCAGTTGTGTATAATTTCCAGTAAGAGTATTGGTATGCAGCACACTTTCAAAATTCTCTTCCTTCATAAGCGTTAAAACCCCTGAGCAATGACTTCTTAGCTTGATCAGGGCAGACGGAAATAAGTTAGTGGAGTTATACGTTCTGGTACGTTCATGTACGGTTTGTGCAGAAAACATAAATCTTATGAAGTCAGTGGCAAAGAATGAGCACTATTATCTTTCTTCTTTATCACACTTTCTTTCTTTGTCTTGCTTATTCAAACCTTGCCCGGGCTTTCGTGGTTCCAGAGAATTGCAAGCATGTACGAGGATCTCATTTTCATGAAAAAAAAATAATAAAAACAACCCCTTTCTTTCTGTGTGAAGGACTTAAACTAAGTAATTTAGAAGTAAATTGATTGCTAGAGTTGAAAAATAAAAGCAGTTGGGATCCATCTGCAGTAAAAGCTGTGGGATAGTATTAATCCTCCTTCTCCCTGTAGGATAACAATGGGGAAAAATCTACAAGAAGACAGAAAATATACACAGATTTCTTTTTCACAGGGATGGCCAGAAATGTAAAAGCTGGGTTTGATGTTAAATGCACATCCTTTCTGAAGATTATACAAAAAGTGTTGTTCGTTTGGATGGAAGCTTTGATTTTAAATCGGGGCTAATATACTCAAGACTCATGTCAGGTCAGACTATTGAGCTGAAGAGCTAATACTGCTTTCTTCAGCGGTGGTCAGTGTGAAACCCTTGAAAGGAAAGGGCATGCCATACTGCTGTGTCAACCTTAGGAGCTCAGTAGTTAAGTTTCCCATCATTTCTTTGGTCCAGCCAAGGAAGATATTTCTGCTTCTTGCCTGTGACTGAACGACACAGGAGCTTGGAAGCAAAACTATCAAGCTAAAAGCAGTTCAACTTTTCTAGACCTTGCAATGGAAGTTAGTTCTTATTCAAGTTGTAGTCACGTTAATTTACTATCTCTAAGAGTAAGGTTGGCACAAGCCCTGATAGCTTTAGGTATTTCTTGTTCTTGCAGAGACATACTTGCCTTTCTCAGTACCATCGCCTCCTTCTCCGCCACTTCCAGCCGATTCCCCCGCGTGCTCCCCTTCGCCCTGCCTAGGGCCTTCTTTGCTCCCAGGCCTAGGAGGACCAGCGGGATACTGCTGCTTGCTGGAGCCGTGTTGCCCAGCTGTCACTCCTCCCACCATCCGCCCGTGGGCATAGCCATGAGCATCTTCCCCATAATGCCCTCCTGGTGGGATAAATTTCTGAAAGTGATCCTAGGGCATGAGAAAAGACAGTAGGAATCGCTGTTACAGGATGTGGTCCGTTGGCATTTGCAGGGTTGGATCCCAGAACATGAACTCCTGAGTCTCCACAATCTGACCAGTTTTGTGTCTCAGTTACAAAACCAGTGGCAGGACTTCACATGAGTTATTCTCTGTGTTCAGTGTAGGAGCAGTTGCAGAACAGCAGCAAGGGCAATGGAAACACACCTTCTAATGGACACCTCTTAGTCATCTTATATGATGGGGAGAAAAGAGAGGGATCTGTATATTGTCCCGAGCAGTGATCAGTATGGAATAGAGGAGGAAGGGAAAGGAAATACAGATTTTTCCAGAGCAGGTAAAGGTTCAGATAGAAATACATTGGCTAATCTGTAGGAAACCAAGCTGAACAATAGAAAATGTTTTCACGTTAAGATAGCTGAGCAAAGTAGCCTCTAGTACAGAGTGGGAGCTAAGTGGTATTGGAACAACAGGGTACCTGTGACAACAAAAAAGCCTGGAAGATAACTGTCCGTATGTTTTGCATATATGTGAGGTTCTGCATAGGGAGAGGTATTTACATGTTGAGAATGACAGAAGAAATAGCAGCCTGGGAAAACGTGAGAGATTTCCCAGAGACCACAAGAGGACGAAAGGGAAGAGGTGTCTTTTTTTTTAGCAATGTGTGAATTAATGAACCAAATCTGACCAGCAACAAGGTAAGAAAGAAAGAAAGCTGTAGCTCTCAGTAAAATCAAGTTGGTCTTATTTTCCAGGCCATCCACTCTCTCCAGTCCAAGGTAGAAAGCACAGTCCTTGCAGTGCAGAGTGAAAGAGCACAGTCTGAGCAGGGTTTGTAGACCCTGCGGTGACAGAGCAAGGCCCTGTCTTTGCACACAGCAATTTTAAGAAATACTTGTGTGGAACAGAAGCTGATATAATACATTCAGAGAAAAGTTTTATGTATTGGTCATAAGTGAATCAAAGCTTGACTCTTACCAGATATAAACGTGTCTCTTGTGTATTACAGCTCACACCACTGTCTAATACAAGTAAACCAGGGTTATATATCACATATATATCCCTAATCTTTCCCACTGGATTAGGGAATTGGCTATAGATGTGCAAAGATGTAACAAATACAGCTGAAGTGAATGAATCTGTGGTTCCTCATGCTGCAATTCTGCTTGTACAAATTCACCTCAATCAATGGGATGCAACAGTACCGACCTCAGGGCTGGCTCTCAAAGAGTTAAGGCTTTCTCAGGGCTCTTACACCTAGTACAGTTTAGCAAAAAGCAGCTTTCCAGGCTGTAAACAGGCTTCCGAGGCCAGCTGTTCGGTCAGCTAAAAATAGACGAGAAGTGAAAACCCCACAAGGCTCAAGGCAGAATTATCTAACCCTCCACTCCCTGTGTCTCCAGCAACAGTGGCCAGGGTTTCACAGCAGGTCACCAGGCTGCAACCCAGGCAGGCAGCCAGCTGCAGGCTGAAGTGGCAGAGCTGGTGCCCCCAGGGCCTTTAGGGACTGTCTGTCCTTCTCCTGGCTGTAGGGAATTCCCATTTTAGGAATAGAGGAGATAATGTTCCCCTGAATGTCAGGAAGCACTGAGAGGGGAAAGGATTATGAGCATTAAGCTCTACGAAGGAGCTAGCAGGGCAATCTGTTCAATTATGCGTGGGAGCTGTAAAGCTGTAAAAAGGCAAACCGAAAAGGGGTTATTTTGAGGGCTGGGGGTCAGAATGAGGTTATTCTCAGAGTGTTAATGTATATGCAAGGTTAATTCTTCTACTGATTGGCTCAGTAATTTCGAAATAGGATTTGCATCTCTTTTCCTTCAAGTTTTACCCATGCTATGTGCCCTTCCTGAGAATGAAATGCTTATTTCTCTTTTCCTTTGGTTACTTTCATGCAAAAAAAAAAAAAAAAAAAAATCACAAAACAAAACAACAGCATAGCATGAGCTACAGTAAAAAGGGCTGGTCTGATCTTGTGCACAGCAGTATTTGATGTGACCAGGAAGGGGCATCATTGTCATCTGGTGTTATTTTAAATTGCAGTATTATCACTAAGCAGGAGTTAAATTTCTCTGAAACACAAGGTCTGCCTCGGAAGGCCACACCTCAGTCTTACTTAGCTGCAAATGAAATTAGTTTTATTGGTCTCAGGCTAATTCATGATTCATCATGGACCTGCTCAGAAAACCTCCTCTGTGTGCAGCAGGCATCTCCATTCAGATATGAAAGACCCACTTTCCATGCAATACCCCAGTCTACTCACCTGCTAGAATAAAAATATAAATTCTTTAGTTTTGGTTGCCACAGCAGATTCTCTTAGCTCAAAAATGACAGGAGGCAAAGGCAAATTCATGACTTTGAAATCTTGAACCTTGGTGGATTCAAACGAGCTCGTTCCAAGACAGCAGAGCTCAAGATTGGCAGCCTCAAGCAGGAGTCTCAATGTAGTCAGAGCTGGGTAAGGTGCAGCTTTGTCTGATACTTAGAGCATGCCTCCAGTCAGGGTATTCACATTGAAATACAACTTATGCTTGAGGGGAACTGTCTTGGACCATTGCTAACAGCCCGTGGAGCTTTTATATATATATATATATTTATATTCACATCACAAAACCAACTTCTCAGTTCGGGTTGATTGACCCTGTTGGTGGAAGTCCCAGGAGAGAAGCCCAGGCGTGTCAGCTGAGAAGGCTGATAACCTTCTCCTGTTGGCTCTGGGGACAGATCACACAGTTCCTCCATGGTGAGGTCTGCCCTGTCTGTGCATTGCTAGTAGTAGTAGTAGTAGATGTTACATGTCCTGGGAGTCCCTAAATCCACTCTAAAAAGAGAACAATTGTGGCAAGTTCATGTCATATGTAGTCCCTTGGGTTGGCTAAACAAATTGGGCTCATGTCTTTGAAGCCCTTAGTGCTGGCAAGAGTCTGATCGTGCAGGGTGAGTGCCTAGATGGATGAATTCTGAGTTCTTGAGAGCTACTGCATATGTCTCATGAAAAATAGATAATGAAAGATGATCCAACTAATGGAGCTGAGATCCCTAAGTATCTCAAGACCCTGACGTCACCGCAGGCAGTCCCCAGGAGGAGACACTGTGTGCTCCCCATCAGCTCCTGGCTGTGCCCTAAAGAGAATGATTGAGGCCACCAAATGTGTTTCTATTTCCACCTCACTGATAAAGAGCTTCCCAAAGGTTTGATGCCGATGTGGTTACTAAGACTTCTGAAGTTACTGTGTCCTCTCAGTGGCAGGCCCCCCACTCCTTAACGGTGGGATGGGAGACTTAAAATTCAGACACTTGAAGAGTCTTAATAGACTGCCTGCTGTTGTTACTGAAGTGAGTGTCTTGGTCCTTAATATGGAGTTGCATAGTCTTAAACCTATGATTCACTTTTTAAAAAAGGATGAAGATAAAAAATAACCTCAGCTGTTAAAATATCTTAAGCTAATTATTTTTTTAAAAAACATGCTCCCCCAAGGGGCACTGCAGGTTGAGCTCACTGCTGTGGAAAATAAAAGGATTTTCTTCTCTGTCATTCTGCTGTATTCACACCGGTCACTTCTTGAGTAAGAAGGCATCAGACTTCATGTTCACTCTTTTACAGCTTTGGGTATAGCTGGGACCTCTATGTCTTCTTCACCAGTCCAACTCCACCACAGAAAGGCTCGTTCTGTTAGAAAAGTTACTTCTCAGCTGGCTCCCCCCACTTAGGTCATAACCCAAGACTCTCTCACATCTCAGCTTGCTATTATCCTGTAACGTTTGCTCAAGAGGTTTAATATTCCCTGCAGAACAGACTTACTACAAAGAATGCTTTTCCTAAGATTTTCCCTTTAACCTTACCTCCAGTGATCTTGACTGGCATTCTTCTAAGTACAGGAAGAGGCCAACAGAGCTGTAAGAGTATGCTTGTGCGTTACACCAAGCAGCTGCATGGTAACATCTCTGTTCCTCCGTCCTTACGCTTTCCTTCACACACTGTGTCATGGCTGGCTGTTTAACATGTAAGATCTCTGAGGCAGGTTGGTTGTGTGTTCTGTCTGCTGTGAAGCATCACTTTTGGTAAGGTAACCACTTCCATTTTCTTCCTGCCACCTCTGCCACCTCCGAGTTCTTGTTCCGCAGCAAAAGCGATACTGTGTAACTCCTGCCATTACCCAGAAGAACAGTAATCCAGATCATTAACTCCCTTTCACTTCTTATGTTTTGTTTCACAGTTGGTGTCTTAGCTTATCTGAAGAGACCTCTTAGGTCCGGCAGAAATTACTTGACAACACATGTTCAGCTTGTTTTCATACAAGCATTGCCAAGATATGGAAACTGCATTTATTTTAACTTGTGGGCAAGTCTGAGAAAGTATCAAGGTGGGAGTTTTGTTGTAGGTTTGGATTTTTTTGATACTACTGCTGATAACTATCTATTCAGAGATTGGTTATTCCACTTTCCTCATGGTTTAATTTAAGATCTGGTAAGTAAAGCAGAAACTGTGGCAGGGGGAAAAGGCAAATCAAGTCTTTCTATAAGCTATCTTCTGATAAACCCAAATCAGGCCACAGTTTTCAGCTAGCAGAAAGACAATTTTAAAGGATCCTCACTGGAAGAAAAGCAACATAACAGCAACACACAAAAGCCCTAACTATGGTTTTGTTTTCAGTTTCCACCTGATGACAGCAAGAAGGTCTTACACAGAGGTTCCCACAGCAGAGGTGGGACCTTGAGAGGAGTTATGGCAATAATGAATGGGGCTATAAGGCTAAGAAACATAGTTCCACGTGATCTTGATGTGTTTGAGACCAAACAAATTTTGCATTATGAAACAGAGGAAAGGTCTATGAACTGCTGATCTATTAATTGCTGAACAGTGAAGTGGGATTTAGGAGACCCAGAGATAAGGCTGAGACAGTCTCTGTGATTTGGGGTGATTTGTTTATCTGCCTTATGGTTCAGTTTCACCATTAAAAAATAAATGTAGTGGTTTCTTTTATAGCAGGTCAGATGCTACAATGATAGAGCACCTAGCAAGATAGGGTTTCATCATGGTCTTCAGTCAGTAGTAAATTGCAGCTTGCAGCTCTGCAGTGAGGTTGATAATACCCTCTGAGAAATGGAAAGAACCACGGTTCCTGTGACAGGCTGGCAGAGCCTGGGATGACAAGAAGAAATTCTCCCTCTGATTTGCTAGGCAGTGCTGAGCAGAGCCCAGCTTCTCCAGCACAGCATCAAAGAAGGAGGATGTCACATGAACTCTCCCTGTTTGGCAGGCTATCAGTATGCTGAAAGTGTCAAACTCAGCCCTTCCTAAAAACATCCCTTCATGCTGTACACTTGAGGGTCACAGTATTGAAACCAGCGGTGCAGTACGTGGTGCATTTCATTTGGCTCATGTTGGGCATGGTCAGCCTTTTCGACTGCAGGTTTAGCTGCCCTTGACTGGACGGGTGGAGCTGCCGCAGTGACAGAGAGTGGCAGAGGCAGGTTTTGCCTTTTGCATGAAGCAGGTTTTCCCTTTTGCATGGGGCTGTCTGACGTTCATGCACACACAATACACATGTTTTCTCCACGAAGAGTGAGGAGAGTGATCTAATTGTCCAGTGTGGTTGTTTGGCTGGAGGAGAAGGAGGAAGAGAGAAGCAGGACGGTGGATCAATGACATGTGACTAGTGAAATCTTCTCCCTTGTGTGGATGGTTTATGGCTTCAGCAAAGACTGTTCTGGGATCCCCATGTAATGGTTTGGATTTATTTTTAATAACCTTTCTCTTTATGTGTTTTTATATTACATTACCTTGCTGTTAAATGTTTTTTGGGGAAAAGAAACAATCCATACCTCATCCCAGACCTTTCTTGCTCTGCTTTGCTAAGTGCACCCTGAGAATATTCTGAGACAGTTAAGAAATCTACGATACAAAAGCAGAAAACACACTGCCAGCTTTAAATCCCTTCACTGTCCCAGAGCCTTAAAGGCACAAGGACTTCTTTGGGCTGGGGAGCAAAGGAAATGACAATTCACTGGAAGAGGGAAGTAACTGCAAGTAGCAGTAGATATTCTTTGCCATCATCTTCCTCTCATGGTTCCCTTTTGTTTAAGCCTCCTTCTTTTCTGCATCTGCCTTTGAGCAGAGCCAGAAGTAAGAAAGGAAGGGAATGGAAAACTAATCAAAGATTGCAATTGAAAGGGCTTTTTGATCAGAATTATTCGCTGCTAAGGTCAGGAGCTGTCCTGATGGTTTAGAAGGTATCAGTGAGGTCAGAGCTCTGTGGCCTTTACCTGCGTGACAGCAACCAGCTCTCCGAGAGGGTGGCTGAGTTGCTGTGATCACTCAAGTTTTAATTCTCACTGCTCTGACTGCCAGCAAAGGTGCCAACTCGTGCTGGCTCTGGTGGTGAGAATACTTATCCATGGAGGCAGTGGATGCAGCCTGGCAGAGTCCTTGCACAGAGCACACACGGCAGCCAGCAAATGGTAACAATTGTGTTTGTGATCCTGCTAAGCTGGCCACAAGCAAGGGCTCTAGGGCAGACCAAGGTTTTCCTGCACTAACTAGTGGAGATTTGTTATATGTACTATGAAGGTGGAGAAAAAATAGCCTTTAAAGTGAATCATGGAGGATTTTAAAGCAGAGTACCGGCTGCTGTTTGGAGACCATGCTATTATTCTCATGTAGCCAAGCCATAAAGAAAAATACTAGGCTTGTTAGGGTCTTGTCTTACCCCCAGATACATTTCTCCACAGTACAGAAGTGTACAGTCTTGCTCAAAGAGCTTGGGAGTGGAAGTGTTCTTACGGAATAAAGTGAGAGATTCACTGCAGAAAGGGTATAGAGTGAAAGTCAAGTGTGGATGAATAAACAAAGCAGGAAAAACAGCTACCAAAAAAAGAAGCAATTTTCATCATCCTTTGTAATGTCAGTCTTGGAGGGACTCTGTTCATGTCCAGTTTTGAGTCTGTCACAACTCATTTGCTGTGTATTTCTCCTATTGGACACCCATAAGCGATGCCTTTGAATTTCTGGAAGTTTGATATTCAGGTTTTTTATTCCCTCAAGTTATTATTTTCTCACTCCTCCTCACTGCAGCAGATTTGGACATATAAACTTGGCCCTCATATGTTTTAGGCACTCTAGATTGCTGACTGTTTGTTAAAAGAGCTTGCATTTCTCTAGGATTTTCACCTGAAGAGTCCAAAGTTCAACACTCCCCACATCCTTTCTAGGAGATAACTCACTGAAGAGATGAACTACCTAGAGCACAAAGAGATGAAGAAACTGCCCTAAGGCTAACACCACCAGATATGCTTGCTGTATCTCTGGTCTGTCACGCCTGATCTGTAATCTGACCTACTGCTCTAATTCTAGTGACTATTTTTGTAGGCATCTTTTCACATCCTGCTTCCCAAACTGTCATTTTTAGAAGTGAACCACAAAGATTTACTTACTACTGTTTTTGAAAATATCAGTGAGCTAAAAAATAGTGTGGTTTTGTTTGGCAGAATATTTTTGTCAGCTTGGCTTCTTTTATTTTGCTTGAGTTACCTTGGACTGGAAAAGAGATCCATAAAGGGATAAAATGACACCAAATAAATTTTAAAGACCATCAGAAGACAAGATGCTACATCAAAATGCAGATGAACCTGAAACATTTTCTATTTGTTTTACTGAACTGCTGGCAATCATGTGAAAGGAGATTTTAATTTGTAAAAGTTTAAGTGTCTTCAGAAGACCTTATAACAGCAAATTCAAAGATTAAGTAACAGTACTAACTAATGGGAAAGGGGAAAAAAGAACATCTGAACTTATACACAATATCTGATAGGAAGATACTTCAGAAGAAAACAAATGTAGCTTCTAGCAAATAAACTGAAGATATTGCAGTGTCAGGTTAGAGGTTTCTGTCTGAATTTTCATTTGTGGAACATCCTGCAGAAATGGGCAGAGAACTCTACCCAGCAGGAAGCACAAAAGCGTATCCTAGGCTAAAAATAGAACCACACCTACTGGAGGTGAAGTCAGACCTGGATGGATCGTTTCCATCTTGCAAAGAAGAAATGGAGTGGGTACAAAAACAATTAGTCCTGCCCTGCGCAGCTCAGAACACCTGCCAACCACGTAGTCCTCCCTCGTCACTCAGTACTGAATTTTCTCATGCTTCTGCCTGTGTCATACCAAGCATTTGCCAAAGGAAACTATTGCTGCTGTTGAAAGGAAATAAAACTTGTGTGTTTATATAATTCTGTCTTTTTCCTGCACTTCTTTGCTGGTACATACCCCCAAGCCCATGCGTATACAGACAGGGAAGAGCTTGGGCACACTCATTTCCTGTTTTCCTTGGGTGTATCAAGCAGCTTTTTAGTTTTAATCATCTCCGACCTACCACAGAATTGTCGGTGAAGGCATCAGGGTTATTCTCATAAATGAACTTCTCCACCCTCAGCTGACGTAATTTGAACATCTTGGATCCTTTGTTAGTGAGGAGGGAGAGCTCTTCTAGCATCACATCTCTGGGGATGCTGATCTTCTTCCCCAGGTTCAGCTTGGACACCTCTTGTGGCATGACTACAAAACATATAAAATGGGATGCTTTAGGAAGTGCTCTGGTCCAAGCCCCTTATCCATTGCTTCCCAGAATCATAGTGACTTCAAAGCAGACAAATTATTTTCTAAATCAAGTTTTTAGGAAATAACCCATGCATCGAATTTTTACATTGATGACACTTTGGATTTATATGAGTGGAATTTACTCTAAATTGCAATCAAGGCAAATCTGCACAGAGGAGAGTTGTGTAATGGTGGAGGTGGGTGCACGTGTCCTGCATTTGAAGCACCTCAGTCAGCACAGCAGGACTCCTTAGTACTGCCTCAAAACGCACCACTGCCTTGTCTGGTTACTGCCCTGTACTCGGTTCCCCTCCTCTGGAATTAGGTGAGTGGCAGCCAGCTTTTCGGATTGGGCTGGCATAACAAATAAAAACAATTCTGCCAGGCTTTGTTTTAAACATTATCCTGAAACCCTGGCAAGACTCAGTGTTGTTATACCTTTTTGTTTGTTTGTTTTAAGGAGAATTATTAAAGGGAAAAGTAGTTGAAGTTCTCTTAAAGTCTTAGTGCACTAGTTACTCGGTAAGTTGTTTCCCATATAGTTTGGTGCTGCCAGTTCTCCATCAAAGCAATGGATTCAAATATTTTCAGTGTAAAAATCTCGCAGAAATGCAGTAAAAGCTTTTCATTCAGAAACAAACAACTTTTTGCAGGCTTTTTTTTTTTCTGTATTAAGCAAGGTTAAACCATTTATCCACATCTACATCTCATTTACAACGGAGAATGAATCTCCATCCTTAAACTGGTACAAAATTGGTATAAGCCGATTCATTTTAGTAGACATTCTCTGGATAATTATTTTTTTTTTAGCAAGCCAGTTTTCTATAGCACTATTTCATAGAACAGGAGGAAATGCCCTTTACCTGAAAAATGGATTTTTACTTACTTGTTTACTTGAATAAAGGATTAGGGAGAAACAGAAAAATATGTAACTGTAGCCTAGCAAAGAAGCTTCTACATCCCTTTCTGGAGGTACTGAATTATGACTTTTCATAACCTCTACAAACCTTCCCCATGCTGTCAAAAGTAAAGAGAAGATGAGGATATCATAGTTAATTAAAAGTCACCCTACCCAACACACAGGTATTCTGTAGAAAGAAACGTGTCCCAGGTTATATTCTTCCTGCTGTATTACACCCGCTAAGACACTTTGACTTTTCAACTAATGAATGCTGCCTTTGAAGGAATTCTCTCACATAGATGAAAAGCAAATTAGAGACAAAGGTTATGAGAGTGAGAACAATGTGCAATATAACTAGGCACTGCAAAATTGATACCCATAAAAGATCATGTTCTCTTTCCATTCACACCAATGTACATCCATATTAATGCTGCAGGAAAATACGGATTTATAAAATATAATGTAGGTCAACATTTGACCTGAGCGTGCATGCAGTGCTTTTGAACAGTAAATTAGAAAATGTAATGTGGTTGAAGGCTGAACTTTAGTAATATTTGTGGTTCTGCCTCCTGGTATGTTCACTGCATGTCTTGTCCTGAGAGTTCAGTCAGAGAGGGTGTGAAATTTTAAAGGCTGAAATTCAAGTTGAAAGCCAAAGAATTCTCACATGTGCCGTTTTGCATATCTTACCTTCGTGTGTCAGCTTCCCAATGGGTTTAGTGGATTTTTTCCTTTTAAGAGGAGCAGGAGTCCCTGCAAGGGGCATTCCCACAAAGGGTTCTCTGCTTTGCTCTAAACACACAAGGAAATGGAGAATGAAACGCTGGAAAAATATTTCCTTTAATTACCGTTTACAGTTAAGAGATATACAGCCTTCATTTCTCACACAGATTCTTTTCTATCCCTTCCACATGAAGGAGGTAGTGAATGGTATCATCCCCCACAGAATATCAGCAACAGGTGATTGGGGTGTTCTCTGGAGACTTCGCATTATGACACAAAATACGGCAGCCGACCACAGCAGAAGCATTGCCAAGGTGCCATGTAGCACTGTCATCCAAAATAGGCATTTTAACTGCAACGTGGCAGTCTCCCAGCACCCACGTGTGCCAAAGTGGTACTCTGTTACCGTCTTGTGCTGCCGTAACAGAATGTCAGTTTGAAAATTTCCTCTATCATATGATATTGTAATAGCATGAAGTTATCATTGGATATTTTTGTATAAAGATTTTGAGTTTGTCCATAGGTTACTTGGGAGCAGTTTGAATAACGTGCAAGTTTGGTCTGAATATTTAGATAGACCTATTAAAATTGGAATAGGTATTCAGAAAACCACTAGACTGCAAGTTCTGGGTTAAAAAAACAAACAAACAAAAAAATCCTTAAGTAATTCTGTCTTTTATGACTGCTACTGGTGTGTTACAGAAGGGCTGGAGGAGGAAGGCGCAGGCAAGCTTGTTAAAGTTGTTCACCCAGTTTGTTTGAAGTCACTTGCACCTGTATCTTACGTATTGATCTTATCTCACTTTGGGTGATGGAGGAGGGGAAGGGGAAGACACCTTCTGGTACAGTGTTCCCTATCTCTGTCGCCAGATGGGATGAGAGATCTGGACTGCAAAGTCAGAGAAAATTAGGAGAAATCGGTAATTCCACTTCAGGCAGCTTCTCAGAGTCCGTCTTGGGGCTTATCACACGTAATGTTAAGTAGGGCAGGTGTTTTGCATTCACTTTAACACTACCTATGCCCAAACAACAGCATGAAGGGGGACAGATCCTCATCTAATACAATACAACACATGACAAGACAATTCATAAAAAACCTGAGCAGACATTTTTATCTCCTATGTATTTTGCAACTTGATTTCCATATGATGAGGTGATGGTAACTGCTAAAAGAAGCCCAGCCATAGCAAATCAGCTTGGATCACATTGACAGATACTCTCTTGGGTTAGATCTTCACCCATATTTCCAAGCTTTTCTTTTTACTGAGTTGCAGCCTCAAAAGAGCCCATCCTGGCGTATACTCAAAGCAAGCGTGAGCAGGTGCTGCCATAAAGCATGCACTGCACATTCTCCTCAAGCAGCCAGACATCTGCTTGGCTATATAAAAGAAGCAGGCCCTGTTTGACAGGAAAGGGGCAATGCTGCCAGGAGACAGGGTGGGTGGGAGGTTATGGCCCATTTGATGGATCATAAAACTGGCAAAAAAGAGGGAAATCATCTGTATGCCCCAAACGTGGACTCCCTGGGGGAAGGCAGCAAGCGCTGGCCCTGGTGGGGAGCTATGCTCCACTAGCACACCCATTCCCAAGGAGCAATGAGGGCAAGTACATCCCATTCCACTGCCCTCCTTTGCTAACCCAGCAGGACTGAAGAGTGTAAAACCTGTGCATGCAATTTGTCTCGTGTAAGGGAAGGGGCAGCACTCTTTTGCTACGGACAGGGTCCACAGCTACAATGGGACTACTGTTCTTTCAGCCACCCCACCACGGGAAAGCTGCTGGAGCCTCAGTCCCCATCCTCCCCACTATCCCGTACATAAAGCCAGGCTGAAAGTTATCCATTCTCCCCTGAGCTCTGTCCCTTGGTTCAATTCCTCTGTCTTTTTCTGCATCAGTCTTGGCAGCAGTAATTTCCTTGGTTTTGCTGCAAACCAAACCAGTCTTTACCCTCTCCAGACCTTCTCTAAACTATTTTGCTGCCCAGTCAACTCACCTCAGGCTTGCAGTGCCAGGCTCAGACCAGCTCCCGTGCCCGCCCCAGAGCTCGTCAGTGGGCTGCTTCGTCCCAGCCCGTCTCTGGGTGCTGCTGGGGAGGCTTGTCCGGCAGCCCCGCACACCCGGGGTGCCTGGGTGCAGGCAAGCTCTGCCCAGCACAAAGTGCTGATGCGAAGTGCTGTGAATTTGACTCCTGAAGGCTGCTCGCACAGGCATCCTGCAGTTAGTTATTAATAGCCAACAGCCCGGAGGGCAGAGTCTCAGATAGCACCGCCACCAGCCCGAGGAGAGGCGAAAGGAAAAGGTTGCTCCTCAGGCCTCCTGCAGTCACCACCTCAGTTCCCGGGAAGACCAAGCGCTCCACAGGTGCCTCACTTCTTCCTCCTCTCTGTTCGGATAAACGTGCCCTTCGGCTTCCTCCTCCTATTGCATTTTAATGTAATCCATAAAACCTTCTCAATATCCTGTTTGTCAGTAATGCCTCAAAAGCTCTCCTCGGTCTTGCTCTGTTTTACACCCTCCTTCTTGCCTTCTCCTCACTCCATCTTCAGCCCAGTGTTCTCTAGGCTCTCATACATAATTCCTAAAATGCCAGGCATTCAGACAATACATCAGGAAGCACAGAAGAAAAATAATTGTATATGTGAAGCAAGAAGTAGTAGGAAAACCACAAAGTCGAGAAAGCTATTGACAGAGTTCTAGGAAGAAGCTGTGCAATATGTATGAGAAACACAGCAGAATCAAACAGCAAGGAAGTTAATTTCACAATTCATGACAGAAATAGGTTTGATTGCCTGCATTTGGTATGATTTTGTACATGCAAATAACTCCCCTTCTTCAGCTTCTGATCAGTGTGAGGTGACTCTCCGTGGTTTTCCCCCCATACACAGTTGGGTTCTGGTTCTAGGATGAAGGGAGCATAGCTCCTTTTACTGGATTGCTCAAGGATGCACATACCTTTCAGCTTCTGTGTAAAGCGGAAATCCTACACAGAAACACATTGTCTTCCTGTTTCACTTTGGATCAAAATAAAGTTGTCCACTGAATAAACCTGGAGTTTAGTGGGGCAAAACACCCCCCAAACACAGCTGCAATTGTAGTAGAAAAACATCTGCACAGAGAATTGCACGCAATGTTGATGCAAAGGAACATCAGAAGACAGCAACTTTCCTTTTTTTCCTAGATTTTTCAGTTGGTTTTACCTGCACCAAATGCCTATAAAACTTCCCTGTGTGACAAGTGGGTTGAAAGCACAAAGCATTAACCTCCTGTATAAGAGTGCTTTAACATACCTATGGGCAATTATCAACTTTTATAGCCTGCTTGGAGTCAGGGTGTGCATGGCATTCGCCTGGCCTAACGCTTCCTGTTTTTCTGTTGCTTGCATCCATATAACCACTAGGTACCCCTCACATTGGATCTGTAGCACAGCTCTTGTTTCCCTCATTCATATCTACTGTAACAGTGTGCTGTAAGCTTTCCACTATCCAAGAGCGCTGCCTCCTTCTTTGAGCCCAGCAGATACTAAAATGATTTGTGGGGGCCAGACAGCCCAGACCCTGCCCCCACACTCCCATGACAGTGACCTGGGAAGAAATCCCCAGAGCTGTGCCAGTGTCAAAGAGGTGTAGGGGAGTGCACAACTGAACTGCAAACACCCACTGCCTGCTCTGGGCAGCATCACTGAGCTTCGTGCCTGGTGAAGGTATTTACACCCTCCAGCATGTATATAACAGCAGTAACTCTTAAGCTACTACTGACCATCTGTCTGCACTTCACACCCACTCAGCACAAGTGCAGGTGGTCACAGAGGAGCAGGTCTCTTGCTGTTGGCCAAGCCTATGCTCACTGCAGATTGCACAAAGAGGAGTATTTTTTTACTACATTTTTTTCTCTTGGACTGATTTAGCACCATGCTGGGCATTTGCCCAGCACACCCAGTGCCAGCTATGAAGTCCAGTTGTGCTCTTTGAGGTGCTGCTTTCCTCATAAAGTTCCCTGCATTCTAAACACCATTTATCAAGAGAGCTCTCGCCTGTCACAAGGAGATGACACAGAGCAGGGTCCCTAGTGAGGACAGACACAATGTGCCACTATATTGCTTAAAATCAGCAGCCTCTCCTTTCCCAAAGGCATGAGGTACATTTATGTCTTAATTTTAAGAAGTTTCTAGCTCCATTTTGTTGAACATTTAAGACATGAATGTGATTTGTATTATGGGATGAGAAGCTGACAAATGCAGCTACAACTATATGGCACTACTATAGCTGCAGAAATGCAGCTACCAGTACCACTATATGGCACCTTCTTGCAGTCACTGGAGTGATGCTAAACTGCCTCCTCTCTCCTTGCTTCCAGCAGCTGTTTTCAGGCCAATTTATAGCTGCTGTATTATTTCTCCAGTTGTCTCCTGTGCCTTCCTGAGCACAAATTACACCTTAGGGGAACAGTTTGTGCCAGATGGATATCATGTGGAAACCAGCTGTATTTTGAGGCATGGTGTAGCTCCAAAAAATGATGTAGCAGGGAAGTATGTGTTTGCTCTTCTCTGCCATGAGCATAACCTGCTGCTCCTCTGCTTCCTCCCACTCCAGGGGTTCACAGCTGCTCTAGCAGACAGCTGGAGGGAGGGAGGAGCTGAGCAGACTGAGAGGGAGGAGAGTGCTCCATGGTTAGCTGGTAATTGAAGGTGAGCAGGGAACAGATGTGAACCCTCTTTCAAATCTCAGAAGAGACTAGAGAAAAGCAAAAGCAAGGAGATTAAGAGAAGACTTGTCCTAGCATGGTGTGTGAAAATCTCAGTCAGGGTATGAGCAGGCAGGCCCAGAGGTTAGGACCAGGAACAAAGCACCGACAGTAATTCAGGGTGAGCCAAGTCCAGGAGACAAGACTCTGCTGTGGACCCCCAGCCCAAAGGGCAAGAGGTGAGCAAGGGCAAGGGTTAGGGGCAAGGCCAAAGACCTTGAAGTCTAGCTTCTAAGACTGCTAGGAACTGTGGTCTGATGGGAACAAAGTATTGGTATGCCTAGTCAAGGTCTCCTGAGAAGTAGGCAGAATGGTGAAGAACTGGAAATGAGACAGGTTGAGAATGCATACGAAGTAAGCTAGGAGAGAACTGGGCAGGATCTCTCTCCAAGGCTCAAAAATAGTATCTGGAAGCTGAAGGGATCAAATGGACAGATTCCTTTATTCTGCAGATGCTGGTAGGCAGTATTTTTGTTCCTAGACCAATCGTCAGGCTCCTCAGAAGCTCCAGTTTAGACCAGCCTCTTGTCCAAGTTTTTCAGTGCTGTTGTGCCTGTAGCTGTTGTCAGTCTCAAATTCTGAAGAGACCTTGGCCACCTCCACTCTGAAAAATGATCCATAGCCCTTGTTCAGTGCTATGTGAAGTCCCATTCTGTCCTTGCAACCCCGATCCTCTAGGGGTTATTTTCATCTGCATATGCATTTACACATACCCTGTGTGAGACACAGGACCTAGGAGTGCAGCTGGAGTGCACTGCACAGAGACTGTGCTTTGAACCCAGAAGGAATGTGTGAGAGAGTTTATCCTATTAGTATGGCACCAGGATTTACAGGGTGATTTGGATTAAGCAGTCTTCTGTGTGACACTTATGCACCAAGGCACATCTTTAACTGAGATTCTCACCTCCTACTCTACCTTCAAATAAACTTATGTCTCCATTTTCTGTCATGGACTGAGAACTAAATCCTGCTGCTTTCTCCTCCCTATGCACAGTTTCTCCTGAGAGATAGCAACTAGTTCACTAGTCTAGAAATGTCGATGGTGGATCTAGCAGAGACCACTTGTGCACTGCCATGGTGCCAGGATCAGCAGCTTGGTGGCTTTTTCCACTGGAAATACTGTACCAATCTGATATCTCTACCATAAGTAATGTGATTCTCTCAGCATAGATAAGAAGTTATGTAGTGATCTTACTGTTATCTTACCGACTCATGCTACTCAGTGCTCAGGGTCTTAAATTACTACAAGCCTTGCTTGATGAGTTGTTTTAGTTTTGGTTTGGGATGCATGGGGGTTTACTTGGAATGTGGTGAGGTTTGGTGGCTAAATTCAATCCCTGAATACATGGAGTTTCCACTTAAGTCATGTGCTGTCTGTAGGACCATTACGCGCTTCAGGGAGGAGTTTTTAATCATACAGGGAACTGTCTGTATCTTACTGTGACCACTTCCCTCTTTCCAATTACATCCCTTGCTTAAGTGGCCTTAGGAACAGTCTGCACAAGACTTTCTCTGACTTGTATCTTCAGAATTAATTTATTTTTGCACTGCATTCTTGTGCACCTGATTTCAAATGATCTAACTTAAAATTGTTGATGTCTGCAAAATCACGTCCAGAGCAGCAGGTGAGATCTGCCTCATTACAGAGTGCTAGATAGACAAGCGTAGCTAAGACAAGCATCAGCAGCAGGGCTGTCTCCTGAGCACGTTTTGATCATGGGAAAGTCTGCCAGACAGCATCAGTCTGGCAAATAGCTTTCACCATTTTAATTTTCCAAAGACAGAGAATTAAGCCTTGACCTTGCGCCCCTATTGCCCTGGAGCTCTGGACTGATCTGTACTGAAAGTATTCATAAGCCACACATTTCAAAATGATTCAATCTGTTCTGAAAAAATGTTGCAAACCCCTTGATTTGGCTTTTTTATTATGGTTGATTTTTATTTTTAAATGCATCATATATAATATTTGTTATTTTAAAATACTGCATATATTCTTAATTTATTCCACATTTACACAGACATCAGGAAGAATTGTCAGTAGTTTGTAGCACCACGACAGGAGAAACAGTTAATGCCAGACTCTCTCCTGCTACTGAGTGGGCTTAATGCACGATGAGATGTGGGACTGGGACAGAAATACGGAGGATTTGATCAGGGAGCTGGTGTGTGTGTTGAAATAGCTGGCATGCCCATGGTGTGGTACTTGCTGGGCAGCCAGTTTGCCTACGTTCCCGACACGGTTACCACCCAGGAATTCCCTCCGAGCTGCAGCAAAGCCTCTCGCTGCCAAAACTGCCTGGTATGAGGCTGGCCTTCTCCTCCGGCATGTGGAACCGAGCAACACCATATGTGAACGCCAGAAGAGGATGGATTAGAAAGAAAGGAGTTCCTAAGATTTTAAACCCTCCAGACTTAACA